AGCAGACAAGGGAGAGGCAGAACTGAATCCTTAATAAAAAAGCAAGCTGTTTATTTCAGGTTGATGTTAAAAAACAGAAAACAAGACAAGGTGTACTGGGACAAATCAAAACTAGAAACTAAGCTGGGAGCAGCTAAGCTAACTATGAAAACTAAGACGTGAGAGACAGGAACATGGAACTGAAGAGGAACATGCAAAACACGGACGTGAAGAATCAAAAACATGAGCATGAACCTGAGCAGTAGTAAGAAAAAAAACAGCCAAAAAACTCTGTGAGCAGACATGACTCGCCGCAAAGACAACAGACAACTCGACAAAGAACAGAGGAAGACAGAAGACCTAAATGCACAGAAGGATACTGAGGGAAGTGGAAACCCCTGCGGGACACAGCTGACACAAATGATCATGATGTCACAGGGAAAAGTAAAACTAAACACACTGAACATGGAAACACCAGAACTTTCAAAATAAAACAGAAAAAAAATGGAGCGACATGAACTGGGACACGCAAGCTTGATACAAGAGGGAGCGAGAGAAGGACACAGAGGAGAGAGAGAGAGAGGGACACAGAGGAGAGAGACACAAGGTAAACTTACATAGAAGAGGAGATAACACATGACAAACAGAAAAAGACTCAGAAAAAAGGAGACATAGGTGAAACATAAACTAGACTAAAACTCAACTAAATCCAAGCTGGTAATAACCACACAAGAACTTAACATATTTCCAATATAAGAATGTAAAATGTAAAATAAACTCAAAACTCTGGGTTGCAGACCCAGCCCTTGATAGACTGAGTCTAAAAGAAGGACTAGCATAACCCAAGCGTAAAATAGGCGGTAACCGTTAAATGCTTTAAGATTTGTGATGAATCTCAGTGCTCAGTAGATAGTGTAGCAGCATAACCCTGCATTAATTCAAAAGTGGTAGCAAAAAATCTCCTACCTGCCTCAAATTAAAGGAAGTATTTGCTTTAATTACAAAGTTTTAAAACAGAAAACCCAGACTCCAACTCCAACTTTAAAACCAGTTGCTGTCTGTGAGTCATAAAATTGACACTTACCAATTATAACTCCACACTATTTGTTGTGGGAAACTAACTCAGTCTTGGAGCCTGGTGCACAGTGATACATAAAAAAAGAAACATTGCATTCTTGACATTCCAGTAGGAGAGGTCCAAGGACTGATCTCTGTGGCACACCCCCATCAAATAATTTTCAAACTATCACACATTTCTTCTCTGATATGTTGTGGGTTTTCCCCCCCTGTAACATTGCATAATCCACAGCTTTTTTTTTTTGCTATTTAATATTTTTCTCCTTCTTTCAGCTGCTCTTTTTTAGGGTTTTGCAGCAGTGGATCATCCATTGCACCCTATCCCTTGTGTCCTCTTCTGTCCCATCAACCCTCTGTATGTCCTCCTTCACCACATCCATCTGCAGTCATCCTCCCCTCCTCCTGGCTGATTCATCGTGAAAATCTCTCAATGAGTGTGAATGACTACAATAACAGTTTTGGTTTGTTACTTAAATGCTATTAAAAATCAAGAAACTTCAGATTATCAGTATTTTCCTTTTCTTTGTTTAAAGTATACCCAGAATGTTGAATTTTGACCACATGATGGTAGCAGAAATAAGTTGCAAAGATGACACTGGCATATTTATTTAAGTCAACTAAGTTTAAGTGTTGCTTATTTAATGATTAAGCATTATGACAGCATTGTTGTTCATTTCATGTTTCTATTCTCTGCCAGTTCCTGAGAGAAAAGTTCACCTCTTTAACTGCAAAATTCTGCATTACACTCACTTAATAGTTGCTGACTTTGTCTATGTGTCATCCTCTGCTGGAAAGAGAGCATGTAATTCACTTTTAAAGCTTTTCCTCTTTGTTGAAGCCAAAGTGATGGAGTGAAGGTGGTCAAGGGTAACAAAACCAAAGCTTTTACCTGAATGACACCAAAATGCTCTGCTACAAGACTTCCATTCTCTCAGTAGTACAGAGAGGTTATTAAAACAGCATTAAAATGACAAGAAGCTGCAACGTCACCGCTGCATCAGTTTTTAAACCACATGTAATTGTCTTAGTGTATTAGTGAAGCACAGGTACACAATTAACAGGTTAAGCATGCTTAAGCACTACAATGGCCCAAATCTCCTGTTTAAGCTCTACTGTACGTGTGTGTCCATGTCAGATGTTAAAAGCAGGCCGGATAATCCCCGTTGTGTCCCGCCACGACTGATCATACCTGACCCACTATCTCGTGGGTCAGGTATGACCATACGTGACTATGTACAGCAGCAGTTAGTCCACTAATGGGTATTGTTACCACAACATGAGTAATTAGTTTCTAGTAACTATAATACTTGACCTTCAAGCACTTCTCAAAGAATGAATTGTAAATATGTCAGTTAAACAGTATTATTGCTGTCATGTTTCCTGTCAGTGACCACAGTGATTAACATTCACTGATATTTTTGCTGAAACATTAAAAGTCTATTAGATATTAGACACTCAGTATTAGTAAACACCGTAGGTGCTTTCTAAAGCCTTGGGGGAATTCATTAAATACAGGATTGTAATTCAGTAAGGATGCATTATGTTTCCTACTAGTTTGTACTCCAGCCTTCACAACTTAAATACAAGAATTTCACTGTCTGAATTAAAATTATGTCATAAATGTCTAAACGAGAAAACACCACTGAGAATAAAAAGTACTCTTTCGAATGGGTTTCAATTTTAAAATGTTGTTTTTTAAATGTAAAACATAATTTTTTTCCGTAAATAAAGGGAACACAAAAATGTACAGACGTCAATCAGGAGGTCCCAGTAAAGTATAAAAGAACACATGTCACTCCATCTTTTGAATTTCTAATTTGGGGGGCTGGTAATTGTTGTGTGGGTAAAGACAATTAAGGGATGTGCCTGTTTGCATCAGAGCCACCTCGCCCGTAAATAACCTCTGTGTTGTCTCAGGTGAACAGTTGACCCTTTGATTATCTCTATTATCAAAGGTCACTGACCTGACTGAAGATGGATCCTGACAGCAAGTCGTGGCTTACGTCAGCTGACACTAAACTTTATATACGAGCAATAGAATAAACTGAAACAGGTTATTGGGGACATTTGTCTGTGATGTAACCCTGTTTTTGGCGTCGGTCGTGTAATGATTCTGTTTTGCACCTTATTGTGGTTGAAGTAGTAAAATTACCCCACTAATGAATTCAGAACACAACCTTAGTGAAGTGTTGCACAACAACTTGTTTGGGTTAAAACACCTGTGACCAAAAACATACACTATTCCAGGCGTTAGAAACACCCATAAAACCCACAAAAACACTCACTCTATGTGTGTGTGTGCTTTTCTAAAAAAAATTAATAAATCTGATAACATTTGTTTTTTCTCTCTTACACGTCTTACAACCTGGCTTGCATTTCCAGCTGGCTTACTGTATAATGAGGCATTGAGACAGGAATTTAAGGATCTTTGAATCAGGTGAATGGTCTTAAGCTACAGCTAAGCTAAACTGCAGCTATTTTAAGAGGCCAGCCCACCAGCATAATGTGTCATTTGTTTCCCCGGGCACCAGAGGTCTTTGAAAAAGAGATTTTTAAATGAATACACAGTGGCTCATGCTTAACCCAGCAGTCGCTGTGTATAGTAAACATGAGATCAGACTGTTAAAGATTTTGTGCATGTGTTTTTCTTGTTAATGAGTGACTCAGCAGCTTTTTATTGAAGTTTGAAGTTTAACTGCTAATAGTCAAGAGGAAAAAAACCCTTTGAACAGTTCAACACATCTTAACACGAGAGACACTCTGATCTGAAACTGAGTGGCTAAAAATATTTAAACAATGGCTGTGAGAAAAAACAAAAATCAAACAGGGTCTGGATCACAGCTATGCCCCCAGAAGTACATTGTTGTTGTTATTTTATTTTTCTTTCTTCTGTGTGGTCATCAGAATTAGAATACTTTATGGATCCCAGGGGGAAAATTGCTTTGTTACAGAAGCTCAGTTAAAATATAAAAACAAAAGTTTGGGACAGCGCAGTAGTCTGGTGGTTATCGGTGTTGCCGCTTAGCAAGAAGAAGTTTTTGGGTTCAAATGCAGGCTGGGGTCTCTCTGTGAGGAGTTTGCATGTCTGCGTGTGTTCCTTCCTGGTAATATGGATTTCCTCTACAGTCCACAGACATGTGAGAGATTAGGTCAATTGGTGATTCTCCAAATTTTCCTTAAAAAGATAAGTAAAGTGCAATGTTAAACTAAATATTTAAAAATTAAAGAATACTGTGTGCTCTTAAGGGTAAAAATAGCGCAGGTGTCACAAGTTGTTTGGTACTTGATTGAAACACAGACCAAAATAATATTTTCCCCAAGCTTCCAGTGAGTCTTGCTGCAAATGGGAAACAGATTATGGAAATACAATGCCACAATGATAAGACAGCAAATGTGACACAACAGGCATGTCCAGCCTTTCTCGAGTAATTACAGTTTCCATGCACCTTAAGGTATCTCGATTTTCTGTCAATTTACTCTAGACTGTATTACATGTTGGTGCGTCTTTATACGAAACACATACACATAGAAATGTTAGTCTTGGTTATTTTCGTCAGCTTACAATTTTACATATGCGACTTTTAAAGCACATTTTTAGAAAGACCTGATAACATGTTATAAATTAATGTCCCCAATGACAAATAAATTATGACTGGTGCCACTTCAGAAAAAACAACGCAGCAACATACTAATACGAGTATGTTGAAGCTAATAGTTTTGATACTGTAGTTTTTCTTCTGCGCCTTTAATTCAAATACAAAACAGACTGATGTCACTATTTATACATTTTGACTCCCTGGTAAGAGATAAAAAAGAGGGGGAGATAGTGACAACAGCTATTCTTGGCGTATACTTGTATACTTCCTCTTCATTTATAGGTGAGTTGCGTTGTTATTGGCTGGAGATGAAACGTGTGACCTCTTCCTCTGTCTTCCATGGCAACTTTAAGCAGTCGGAGGAGCAGGGGGATATGGGAGGAGCGAGCGCTTGAGCTCCAGGTGGTCGCGCAGACTGCGTAAAAACGCACGACAAACTATTACGAAACGAATCGCGATCGTCACCCAGCTCCTGGCACGTCTATGAATGAGCCGCTAACGGAGAAAGCGGTCTCGATTCTCGGCTAGAGAAACCACCGAAAGAGTTCAAAGGCTAGGGTGATGCGTCGCTGAAAGAGTTATCAAGAAAAGACGGACAAAGCGACGCAGGACAGTGCGGGGTCGACTTCAGAGTTTCTCGTACAACTTTTTTTTTTTCCTGGTCCATTTCAGCGACAAGTGGAGATATGTTTAAGAAAACCAAGAGTAAAGTGCTGGTGGATTACGCGTCAGAGGAGGACGACATGTCCTGGCACTATCATCACTCCTATAAGGTAATGACACGGATAAAAAGCAAACAGAGGCATTCACTGCTAATAATGGTACGCTTATACTCGGATGAATTCGGGAAGCTGTAAAATTGTAGCAATACAAACATCGAAAACTGTATCAAAATGATTGATTTCACCTGCTCAGGCTTTTTAAAAATTGCTTTAATAAACACAAATAAGAATATAAAGTAGCCTGAATATTTATACATCTGTTTAAATAATGACGAATCATAATTCTTCTATTTTTTATGTTTTCTTCTTATAAAAGTTGCCAAATAGACTTCAAACAAAGAAATGGAGGAGGTGCACAGGTGCTGAAACTCAAGTTAGAAAATGCAGCTTGGAGGTCAAAGAAGGGAGCCTGAATCTAAGAGTTAGAGTGTCTGGACTAATTTTGGCACAATACTGCTCAAGTATAAGAAATATAATTTAAATTAAAGCGTAATAAAATAAAATAAAACACAGGAGGGTAAATTCAGCATGTTATTATAGAGATGGATATGATTTAATGTACGGTAGGTTAGGTTTTACACGCAACTTTGAATCTATTTGCAGTTTTCGTAAAGGTCAGAGGTGTGATTGGTACTTAAGAAGGCATGGTTCACAAATGCCTGTTTGTTGTGGGTTGTGTTTTTTTTTTTCTTCTTTTTTGTTACCCATATTTTCCAGGTAAACAATAAGAGTGTGAGAGGTCTAAAGAACCTCTGTATCAGCACTTGTAAGCAGCTGGGCTCTGTCATGCTGATGGGAGCATGGGGGAGGATTCATATGTACCCACAGACACACAAGGATAGCCAGCCATGACTCATTGCTCATAAGAAATAGCAAGGTGACATGTTTATCAGTTGAGATTCTTGTGGTGGTGTTTTTAACCTCTTGGATCAGGTTTTGAGTACAAGCCTACGTCGAGTGAGCATAAGGTGCTCACATCTAGTTGAATAGTGAAGCTCCAGTGAAAGAGGAGGAGGACGGGCAGCTTCCAAATCTCTGGATACATAGATAAATCTGTTAAAACTCATGGGATATTTTATTCCTCATAAAGGTTGGAGTCACAAAATAATGTGCTTTTGTCATGCTTGCGGTATGTAATCAGCTTACTGTATGCATGATCAAAGCTTCTTTAAAAGGCCAGCCATGATTTTAGGTTTTTTCTTTTTGGTAGAGCGAGTAGTGAATCACATGTTTAAGGACATTTGCAACACCAATTACATAAAAATGCTCTCCTTAATCATATCAGTGTCATATTTTACTCACTGCCTGCACCTCCATCCCTGTATACACCTCAGACTACATGTATACATTTGTCATGCAGTACACAATTGGGAAAATCCACCAACACCATTTCCCAACATTTTTCATCTGCTGTTGTGACAGTGCTGATATCTGTGACCCTTGGCTTAGTTTTATCGACCTCCAGTTGGGAAATAACGCATGTTTCCCTTACATGTGTAGGGGACAGAGCTGCTCTGAGTTCACTTTGTGTCTCTGTCGCCAGTGGTCACAAAAAAAACCTATAAACTGACCTAGGATCAGAGCAGCAAGCTGCTCTTTAGAGATCCTGGGAAAGCAATCGAGGAGGTGGGTGGAGGAGGGGTCTTGTCCCGTCTGCATGGCATTGAAGTACATAAAAGGGTCAGGGGGTCAGATCATAAAATGCTGTAAACACAGCAAAGACCCAACAGGATGAAGTCAGGATTAAAGTTATGATAACAAAGTCTGCAAAGGAAAGATTTTTTTCCTTCCAGTTATTCAAACTGACGTAGCTGCACTGTCTGATTTACCACATGCAGAGCATCCGAAGAGGAGAGCGAAGCGAATCTGCAGCATTTTTGTATCACAATGAAATTGCAGGGATAGCCTTTTGAATTCTTCTGTACTTTTTAAACAAAAAACAAGAAAGACCACCCCAAAAAGGATTAATCCACTTTAAAGCTACAAAAGCTACAAAAAGTACCAAATCTACTAATTATCTTGACAAATCGAGGACAGAAAATAGACAAGATGACAGCCTGTAAGCACAACATGGGAAAAACACCTGATTATTTAAGTGATAATCATGAAGAAAACTAAAATAGTCTTGTTGAGCTCTGTCCTGAACTTTGTGCTGAGTCACACTGTATGGATTTCAGAGGGTTTTTTTCTGTACCATTTTTCGTTATTAAGTGTAGCTTTCCTGAAAAAGAGAACATTGCTGGAAACTACTCAAAACAACAATAGTCTGATCTGTTGGCTACTGTGCGCCTACACTCAAGCCATCAGGAGTCAAGTTTCTGCTTAGGAGAATCTGAAATCCTGCTCTTTAGCTTCCTCCACCCACATATATCCAGGTGGCCCAGGAGTCAGCCAGCGACCTTCATTGTGTTATATCTCACACCTCTTCCTCTGTTATTTTGTCTGACAACTATACTTCCACGTATTTAAATCTCCTGATCAAAATCTTATTTTTGCTTATCGTCATCACAAGACGGCAGCTCTCTTTGGGTGTAATAGTGGAGAGACCTGCAGTCGGACAGATACGGACAAGTAAAACACAGAGACAGGGAGGGAGAAAAGAGCAAGAGCAGAGAAATGCATAGCCTGAAGTCACTATCATTCCTTTTGTCTATGAACAGTGCACCGGGGTGACAGCAGGCCCTGTGCCTGCTTGCTTTTGCCACTCACTTCTATTGAAGTTCAACAAGTTGCAAGCAGCTGTCAGCTTGCAGAAGGTGTGTTTGCCTGTTTGGCTGTGGCTTACTGCAGTAACACTCCTAAATGCTTATATAAAACCACCATGACTGTGAAGTGGGGTAATAAGAGTATACATCACGTCTAGTGAACCTTTGAAGGCCTCACTTCTAAATCATTGAGTCATAAAGAGGATAGTAAAGGAAATGTGATCCCCTGCTGAAGGGAAGAGAATTGAGTTCTTGGACCTCAGACACTTGTTTGGTCTCACAAGTTTGCCTCAGTCCAACACTAAAAATGTCATAAATAGGATCTGTCTGAATGCTTTCTACATTTAGCTGTTCAATACAGGGACTAGGAGATGGCTTGTTTAACTTGGGATGAAGAATGGGAACAGTGGGGGAGTCTATTTTATGAAGCCGTTTAGTATAAGGATATTAGTTGAATGGTTATTTAGTTTTTTGTGATGAATCTAGAAAGAAGGAGAGCCAGCAGAGAAAATATGGGGATTACAAAAACAACCTGATAAAGACTACACGGATGGATAACAAGGAACAGGTGAGTTTAATCCAACACTTGGGAGAGTGGGAAAAGACCAAAGGAGGGAAGTAAAAGCCACAAAAGGATCAAACCTTCAAAATAAAATAGGAAATAAACTGAAAGAGGTACATGTTAAGGAATCAACAGCACAAATAAAGAGAAAAGTAGGGGTAATGACAACTGGGATAAAATGCAGATGATGATAAGCCCAAAAAATGTAGGTATACATCAATTCAAATGATGTGGCTAGAGTGTTAATAGTGGTGCTCTGTTCATTCTGCTTCCATGAACAAGCATGTGGCCTTTCTCTCCACTTACAGGCTTTCTTTTAAGCCGAGCAAACTTGCTTGGTATTCAGTCTACAGGCGTGATACTGGCATGCATGCTCTCATTTAACCTTTGGCAAAAATGTAAATAAGCATATTTCCCAAGACATTAAACTGTTTCCTGAAATGCTTTCTGTGTCCCTGGGTTTGGAGAATGTGGAGTATAAATACTGCTTCTTTGGTATTGGAATTCAGAGTGGTTCTTTATCGCCCGGCAAGCTCGGTTGTGAAACACTGCGCTTAAATTTACACACTTGTGTGCAGACATAAAGAGGGAAAGTGAGAATGCAAAAAAGGCCGCCCTGGGGGTGCGAAATAAGAACTCCTGATCTCTGTTAGGAGGATTTTTTTTTCCAAAACACTACTCCCCCTTGCCCTGAATCTCCTCCCTCCCCCTAACACTCTCTGTTCTGAAGTTGTTAATGCTTTTTACGCTCAAACAGTAGTCAGCAATTGTGTGAGACTGTATCTTTGATCAGCTCAGGTGGCGGAGACCTAGCAGACTTTGCTCAGACATGTCCAACCACCATCTCTCCTCCTCTGTCCCATAGAGTTAGGAGATGTTAAAAGTTAATGTAGCTTTGATCATTTAGCAGGAATTCTGGCGCCGCTCCTATAGAGGCTTGGCTGCAGAATTAATGACTTCAATCCACTTACTTATCATGATTTAATATCCTTAAGTCTTCTGGGGCAAGTTAAGTAATCAAACTGCAAGTTATGGATGATGGGATATGTCATTTAAAATTCTGAAGGAGTCTGAAGTTTATCAAACTGTAAAGTATTTTCAAGTGCAAATATTGCTTTTGAAAAATGCTTTTGCTTATTTTCACATTTGGCATCTTGGTGTAGAAGTTGAGACAGTTAGAATCTAAGAAGAGATATTTATTTAAGAGATATTTAACAGATAATGGCAAAACAGGCTGGATCAAAAACAAGTTAGATGTAAATACAGCTGAAATAAAACGATGGTGTGAAATAACACTGATGATCTGTAAGCCGAAATAATGGCTGGTATAAATACTTATGCCATGATTTGGAAGAGATGACAGAGGTGTCAGGTGACTGAAACTGGTGGGCAGGTGGTAAAAGAAAAGGACCTGGAAATGTCCACAAGAATTCCAGGAAGAAGTGAGGTGGAAAAAGTGTCGTAAGGGAATGACTGAGGTAGTGACAAAGATAATGATCATCAATATATTGTGTAGTGGTTTGTATTTAGGTGTGATGTTTTACTAGGAGTGTACTTCAACAAAAAAACCATAAAAAAGTGTATTTCAAATTTAATATGAAAAAAATGCAGATTTTATTTACCCACCTCTGTTTGAATACATTAAACTATACTTGTTCATTCAGTTATCGTGGTAATTTTATGACGCTAACAAATGAAAACACTCTTGTAGCATGTAACTAAATGATTACTGTTCTGATAAAAACTCCATTAGGTTTACAGTAGTACTTCTACTTTCAGAGCAAGTGCTTTCCTACTGCAGGCCTAATTCATCCATTTCACACAAATGCCCTTTTCCCTATACCTAAGCACTTTTAAGCTAATGTTCATGCATCAGGGGCAACTCTGGGTTTGGGATGATTGCCGAGGATACTTCAAATTGTAGACTAGAGGAGCTTTGTGGAAGTGCAAATATAACGGTCTTGGAAAAAATTAAAATTTAGTGAACTGTTATTGCTGTTTGCTTCTTTCTGTTTCTTGCATATTTCTTGTGGGTGTGCAACTATAGTTAAACCCTACAATAATAAAGCGAAAACAGAGAAAACCCCAACAATCAGATGAACCCCTATGAGCAAGTGATTTGGCAACAATGGAAAGGAAAAATTCCCTTTTAACAGGAAGAAACCTCCATCCCAGTCTGCTTTTAAATACTCTAGAAAACATGTATGCTATGCCTTCTAAGGATGCTGCCTAAGGGAAGCATATGTAATGTAAACAGAATTGGTCCTAGGAAAGAACCCTGTGGAACTCCATAGTTAAAGTATTTGAAGAAGACTCCCCATTTACATGAAGAAATTGGAGTCTATTAGATATGAGTCAAACCACTGCAGCACAGTGCTTTTATTACCTACAGCTTGCTCTAATCACTGTAATATCCCTGTAACAATGTATATAACCTACTACAGTTTTGAGGAGTCATTGTGGAATAAAAGTGGATAAACGTGCAAGTATTAAAGCAGACCATAAAATTGCTTATATAAATAATAAGAGGTAGAATATTGGTGAATGGAGTTATTTACATGGTTAAACAAAATGCACAAGCCCATTGGCAATCATATAAAAGCCAAAACAAAGGGTGTCACATAATAACACAAATAACACAAATATTATACAACGTCTATATTAAAAACAAAATCTGCAGACTGAAACACAATGAGACCAAAATAGCTCTGTTCAGTCCACATATTGTTGAGGACCATTAAGGGAAGAGGTCATGGGTTTGTTTTCTCTCCCTTTTGTTTAAATCCGCCCTCAGAGCTTAGTGGTTTCCCCCCGTCTCTCCCAGCTCTCTATCCATCCATCCATCCATTCTTCCCTCCATCCCTCTATCTCGCACTCCAAATACGGTGTGTTTGTGTTAGCACTTGAAAACGGTTGCCTCCCTTTTTTTTTTTTTTTTTTTTTTTAACAGGAAGGCATGCGCACAGTCCGCAAACACACAATCCCTGCTTTAAAATATGAGAGTTTCTGTTTTGGGGCGGGGAAAGGTTGCTTTTTGTCTTAACTCACTGCGGGTGTATGTGTGTCCTAGGACAAAGACATACAAGGAGAGGAAGAGGATGAGGAAGCCGTCACTGCAGTCTCCAAGGTAAACAGCAGCTTCACAGCTATTCAGACAGAACACAGACGCAAACACACTATCTGCTTCCAAACATACATCAGCTTACAGAGTTGACACGTGATGGTTGTCCGCTCAAAGATATGCACTCAGGCGACCCACGCTTATCTTTCTGTGCACACGCTCAGAACATCGCAGGAATCGACCCTGAAAGAGTCAATCTTATGTCGCCCAAAACATCCAGATGCTTTAAATGGCCAATGCTCTGTCAGTTCACACACGCACGCATGCACAAGCGCAGTGTCACTGCACTGTTTATCTGTAAACACACCAGCTGTCAGCCATCATCCCCTGTCTTATCCTTAACCTTATCGCTGGAAAACTGTCTGGGTTGTTTTGTCACTGTGTGCGTTTGTATTGTGAGCCTTATCCCAAGAAAGAAAAAAATAGGTCATTTTGATCTTTCAGTGGACTGTTTCCTTTATTTAAATCACTTCAGTTCAGTCATCTAAAGTATCGTTTTTTTTATTTTGTGGAAACCTCTGATGTCATATCACAACATGGTTTTGTAAATAGTTTGAGCAAAGCAAAATTACAAATTGGAATATTTTCCATTCAAAATTATGATGCAGGTACATTTGTAGCTTAAGACAAGTACAAGGCCACTTTTCTGGGAATCCTCTTGTTTTTCAGCAGGTACTTGAGGGTCAACAGCATTTTGCCCCTTAACTTGTATGCCTTGCCTCAGTGGATCAGAGAAGATAAAGTTAGTCTTCACTTGCAGAAGGCTTCAACCTGCGAGTTTTCATCAACCATAACCATATTGGGCTCGCTAACTCTCTAGTGGCACTCTTTAATGCTTTACTTTCCTAGCTGATCTTCTGCAGGAAATCGTGCACTGTTCACAGCCAACTTTGACAGGAAATGACACTGCGTGCCATTCTTTGACAAAGGTCTCATCAGCCAGATTTTACTACGTGGCTTTCTTCAGATCATGAGAAATGGACAGCGTGTCCTCCTGGAGCACAACAAGTTTGACTAGCAAGATGGTTTTTGTGCACCTAGATAGGAGAATCACATCTGGGTGGAGTGCGGGAAGACTTTCTGAGATCTGGCTGCATCTCCTAGTTAGAGGTGTGGTGCAAAATGTGGGGCAGGCAGTTGTTGTTGCCTTTGAAGCAACGTCCCCTTCCCTTTGGAGGCTGATAGCCTCAAGTGGTGACGGCCTGGTGTTTATTAGCTTTGACCGTCCATTTGGTGATTTCTCTTACGGCTTTATTGTGCCTCAACCTGTAGCAGACATCTCTCGGTGCTTTGGGACATCCAATTAAGATGTGTTTCAGGGTTCAACCAGGCCTGCTCCACACTGCATACAGGTTGTGTAATCATAGTAATGTTCATTAAGATCATACATTTAAAACCCCTAAAATTAACCAAACATGTTCATGAGAAAGAAGCAACGATTAAAATGTATTACTGTGACTGTGTGTAAGCATCCATCACAGTTTGCACACAGCCTTCCTGGTTCATTTGAAACTTCTAGTGCGTGTGTACATCTTTTCTGTTTAATAAGCAAGCATCTTAAAACCTGTCTGACTGCTTATATTTTACTTTGTCCAGGCACTGATACATGTAGCACTAATTATGTCAGTCAGTACTGCATCCTCACAGCTCTTAGAAACAATGACCAAAATATTTTGTGACTCCTTAAATATAAGATTTAAGGAGTCACAAATTAGCTGAACTGAAAGTGAGTCTGCTGGAGGAAAGCTCATACCTGATCAGCTAAATCGGCTTGGTCATCACTGCTGTAAATATAATAAACAATGGTTTTATTATGAGGGTTTGAGGACATGTGTCCTTTGTCTGTGGAGGTGAGTTTTATCTCAGCGGTCTGTTCATCTTATAATCTGTGCTGACGGCGGGCCTTTACTCAAAGGCATGCTGTGTGTGAACTTGTTAAGTCTGATTTGAAACCGCACACAGGTGATTCATTGTCTTTCAACCCCGGCTGGTCGCTCGCTTTATTGTATAGCCACTGTGACTCGGTTCACAGGACATATTTCATACACCGTCCTGTTTGTGAGGACGGGGTGGCCGAGCTGGAGAAGGGAAGGAAACTGAGCATTCTTTCGAGGAGCTGGGCTTTTTGGAGTGGAACAATCAGTGTGGAAGAAAAACAACGGCTGAAAATAGCCACAGACACTGTGGAAGGTTGCAATTCTTTCACCCTCTGTTGTTCCATGCTCATATTAGGACTCACTAAGTGCACAGGGAGCCCTGAAAGTGGAGGTTACCTGTTGCTGTTTCACTCTATGATGCTTCAACAATGTTCATTAAGCTTAATGAACATGCTTTTGTACTTAAAAATAGGCTTTCATGGGCAGATGCTTCTTTACTTTCAGAACTACCACTCTGTTCTATACATTTTATCTAATGCTAAAAATAATGAATTGATTAATTAATTGGTTAACGAGTCAAACTGCAAATTAATGGACAAAAAATATACCCCAATGACTACCACATGAGGCCCCTAAAACCACTTATGTGCTTTCAGTCCAAAGCTAAGCTAAAACAACCAGCTGCTGGCTTCAATTTCGTGGGAAATATGGGAACATGTTATTATTCACTTTATCAAATTCAAACAAGCATATATCATAAATGTTGTTGTTTTTAATTATTATTTAAAGCTGTTTTTGGTGTCATTAGAAAAGGCAAACCCACTAGAACTTTTCAAGGTATTGCAATTGACCCATAGTCCTGTGTTTTCTCTGGGCTCTGTTTACAGAATATAAAGATTGTAAATTATGCATAAAGATGCATAAGATTGGGTTAAGATATGGGCTAAGAAGACAACCCTCACCTTGCAGAGGAGAGGTAGCACAGGGCGTAGAGTGGGTTGTTTATTAATTGGAGGGTCAGTGGTTTGATTCCTGTATATGAAAGTTCAGTATCTTGGTTTGTTTGTGGTTCTACGCCTTTAAACTGTTGCTTTTGGTGCACTGGACAGTTTTTAGATCAATTATGAAATTAATTGGTGATATAAATAATGTTCATAATAACCAAGGCCTGATTGTGAGCTTAAAACACCCCTGAATTTATCCCCAGTGTCTGCAATTCATGCAGCAATCCCTCGGCTTCAATGTCAGAGGTATGGAAAGAAGAATTTGGTCCATAACACCTCCATTGTTCTGCCAAGCGTGAATAACACAGAGAGCCAGCGAGCCATTTGCTTTACCTTCTTGGCCAGTCACTGAGCTGCTTTGGATCTAGAGGCCCAGAGGTTAGAGCACAGTGGCAGAATAGGCAGGCCTCTATTTGTGCAGGCATGCATGCAAGCACATACACTCGTATACGTCCATTGAGAAAGGCTCCAACTCTTTCGGGATCTCCGGTTTCTTTGCTGGACAGCTCGAACTGCTTCTGCAAACCTTATGCAGTTTACACTCGATGGCACTCGGAGAACAAGAGCTGGGCAGTCAAGAGTTGAGACAGGGTGCTGAAACAGCTGAGATTAGGTTTTGTAAATGGTTTTTTTTTATGATAATAAACAACAGGAAACTGGTAGGGGGGCAGTTTGCCTGCAGGCATGTTCAGGATGAGAAGTGAGTGGAGGATATTTGGGATTTTTTTTTTCTACTTATAATCAAAGAGACTTCCTCTGAGTGAGATGCACAGGGAGATATGATGCATTTTCACTGAGTAAAGTGTTTAAAGATCCATCACAGATATGAGCTGTATCTTAAGTATTTGCATGTGTCTGGCTTTAGCTAGTGGAGCCTATGTAGTGGTAGTTTTGTAAAGTTTGTTTTATCTGTTGGTGACAGATCTTATCATACGTGTTCCTGTTTGGCTTTGGGAGACAGCTGATTTCATATCCAGCTCATTGTTTGTTTGTTGTAGCTGCTGGTGGCATCCTCTGGTCAGAGATCTGTGCAGGTACTGCACAAAGAGCCCTGAACTAAAGTCCTTCATAACTATGAGAACAATAAAAGCAGTTGAAAGGTCGTGTCAGGGTTAAGCTCATTAATCATGTAATATTGTGTATACTGAGAATGCACACTCAAGCAAAGGCGAGCACGGATGTGAGTAGGAGTCAAGACCTTGATAGCTGACCTTGGGAATTCTTCCCAGGCGAGAAACAAAGCCAAAACTTTGTTCCGCGGTCGCTAAGGACGGCTGCGTCAGTGCTCGGCGGAAATCTGCGAGGGCATGGCAGGGAGGAATTCTGATGTGACGGGGAGGCTGGGATTTTCAGAGGGAGTGGAGGATCTCCCGGTGGAATGTGCTCTATGCCAGTGAGGCCCATAACAGAAATTCCCCCCTCCCCAATCCAAAACAATAAATAAAAATTGCACGTTCATCAGTGTGAACATGCTGCTCCTCTCAATTCCCGCAAAGCCAACTTTGTGAAATCCTCGTCTTCAGGGTGTATCAATCACTCACAAACAGGCATACAGAGATATTAAGCTAACATGCAACAGATGAGTGAAATCGAGTCAGATCGGCATTTCAAAAACACTCTTGTCTTGCTGGTGTCTCTCAGGAGGCCAAAGTGAAGAAGATCATGTCCAAGAAAGACAGGAGGGAGAAGAAGATGTTCTCATCTAAAGATGACGAGCGCTTCTTGCTGACTGGGGAGAAGCTGGCTGACCGCAAAGGGTGAGGTTATGTGCTTATTACCTTTATCATATTCCAAATATTTCTCTTACTGGGGGGAAAAAACGGAGCTAACACAAAGTAGAGTATCTGACAGAAAATAACGCCAAATGAATAATAAGAATAAGAAGCCGCTCCACTGTTTTCACTTCTACCATGGTGTAGATGGCAATGTTGTAAGAAATGGTCTTTCTGAAATTATTGATTGGTTAATAGCATGCAGTAAATGCACAGTCACGTCACAGCTACCCACAACATTTCTGGTTTCCATCATGTTTATACAGAGGCACTCAGTAGCCATTACTGGTCAAGTGTGTGAAGTACAAACATTTACACTCCTCACTAAATATAATGGATCCATGTCAAAACCACTTGTATTTGTGTGTGTATATATTTAGTCATGTCGCAGTATATTTAGTCATGTCACAGCTACCCACTAATAAATAAATTTAAA